GACCACTACAAATAGGCTCTGAGCAGATAAAAAGAAATACTAGTGATTCCAGCATTATCAAAATAATACGAAAAACTGAAAGCATTTAAAGCATTGCGTTTTCAAGTACGTTCAACAGTAAAACGTATAAAAAATTTCACTGCATTAGCGAAAACAAGAACAAAAATAGGAAAACAATTCTTGCAGTCAAAAAGCAGTAATGAGAGTGATATACATGGGTTAGAACAGTACAATTAGCAAGACGACCTTCTCTGCGTTGCATATTCCACCTGTCGCCAACGCTTTTGGAGAGACGTATCTAAATTCTATCTTTTCTGGCTTTATCACCTGAGGTGATCCTGTTATAACGGAGAGTGGCGTCATTCTGTACCACTCGTCTCCGAATCAATAAATTGGCTGTGCTAATGTATTGGAAGTTGTTTCTTTGCCATGGTGCTAAATCAGCTGGGCCTTGGAAGTTAAGAAGGTTGACTGATTATTCCAAATAACCGGTATTTTCATGTAGCATCTGGTTGTCGGTCGGATGGTTACTTCATATGGGACGCACTAGATTACACGTATTACTTCACCTAAAAGATGAGCTGTGTAACCTGGTTTTTCCATGAAAACGTATGCGAAATTACTGGCACTTGTTGTCGCGAGGGCTAGTTGTGTCAGAAACGTTTTCCTTTCTGTTTGGCATCGTTGGAAATTTAGCTGACTAAATCTTCTTTGAAGTTCCGCTCTATTGTCTTCTCGATGTACACAAATTTCGCATTCATGTACACTAACAGATCGAAGGCGCCCTTCGGTATCTCTCGTTTCTTGAAATAAAACTCTTCGTTTTCTGAGTGTGCAATCACCAGTTTAGGATGTTCAGTTTTCCATATTGTTATTGCACAGGCCTTGTATGGTGTTGTACGGCACAGGACAAATACCTTCTGACCCTCTTCGATTGAATACGTAACTCTCTGGTTTTCTGCTTTATCAGTATCTTGAGAAATAATAAATCGAGCACTCCCTTTGTAGAGTACAATGTGGGTCTCTTTGCTACATGCTTCTTTGGGGTTAAGTTCCCAATACGTGTCTCCTTGTTCAATATCCATGCAGTAACCCGCGGAATATCAGCAAGTGAGTTGTGATCTCAGTTTTATTTCGTCTGTAGAAGTACGTGCTACCGTTTCGTACCAATCTTTCGTAATGGTGTATGTTGCTTGGACCACTACGTTCTGCCACGACCCATAAACATCTGCGTAGCTTCCTCCCGAGCAACGGTCTTTGGGCGTAAGAGAACCGACTAAAACAGTAACTCTAGTGTGTTGTTTCCTCGGCTGCAAGTCATGGAACCAAATACTGCCTAGAATTTGCAAGCTACCAGTTTATTACAGTTCTTTACACTGAGTTTCGCTTGACCGAATCAGAAACGTGACATGTCCTGCTGTGACTTTAGAAGAATGGAAAAACATACCGCATTCGGTAACGTGCCGTGAGACTACCACCTTACACTGAGTGACTTGAACCGGGTATGATTCAAAGAGCTGGACCAATTAAACAGTTGCAGTTGTAATGACAGGTAGTTTCGAATACATTTGACATGAAGCAACGCTAGTAGCGTCAAGCTTAGTGATATTTGAATTGGTGTTACTAGAATTGTACCCGATAAGCGCAAGGCAGGGGGGAAACAGGTGATTGAAAAAATTAGAGAAGTGACGAAGAATGTTAATAAGGAAAGCTGCTTCTATCGCGTCTTTGGTTGATGGTTAAGGGCGATATTGGCAACCTCTGGCGCGTCCTTCTCAAGACTGAAATCTCTAGAGTCTCGTTGATTCTGCGTATTACGAATGACTACCACAGGGAAAAGGTGTGCAACAAAGCGCCGCACTCCTTTCGATTTCGTAGAAAAGTCATTTTTGGAAAGTTGTAATGTTGCTGTTGTCACCTGTCCTCAATTGTTCCGATGAGTGTTGACAATCTTCTCCAGTTTCCGTTTGGCGCGTTGGAGGTCATCATCGGCCGCAATAACTATTTCTCGGATTTCATGTTCTCGTCAGACCACCTTGAATGTCTGTTTGAGGGAGACGTGTGGCTGAGTTTGAAAAAACTGTAAGTAGCTCCTCTGCCACTCAGTCGAAAAGTCGTTGAGAGTTTCTTCGATTTTTCTGAAATAGGTGGTTAACTGAGTGGAGTTATGATACCGAAAGTCAAACTGGTTATGATTTTCATTGTTTTGCGTTTGTGGTACTTGTGGCAGCCAAAAATTGATTAGTCGCAATACTTCATTTGTGTCGTCGTTGACTGGGGTAACTGGTCGCAAGTTGAGAATGCTCTCAATTTAGGTTGTGATGGTTAACAGTTCTCCTGCTGTGAGTAGTTTCTTCGCCACGGTCTTTCTGGATGCTGTTTGAAACAAACCAATAATTCTCTCGTAAATGCCGCCTTTTCACGGTGCGTGCGGTGTAATAAAGGTCTAATCTGCACGACGTTTCTCTGCTGCAGCCTTAAACTGTGTTCCGTTATCTGATACCACTGTTTTTGGCTCTCCTCGGCTCTCCTCGTAAATCGTTTGTATGCAGTAAGAGAAGCCTGCTCCGAAAGTTCTGATACAACTTCTAGATGTACTGCTCTAGTCGTTAAACACGTGATCAAGCAAATCCATCTTTTTTGTATCTCACCGTTTCGAACGATGAATGGTCCTGCGTAATCGATGCCGACATGCTGAAAGGGTCATAAACTTTCCAAGCGTTTTAGAGGAAGTAAAGTCATTGCGGGTAGTTTAAAAAGGAGGGCGTCTGTTTTGCGAAATTTTATGCAGTGGTTTCAGCACTTTTTTATTGTTTGTCGTTCCTTCGCGATCCCAAAATTTTTCCCGAAATTTTGTAAGGGTATAGGAAACACAAAGTGGTTACATTCCTGTTGGGCCTTCAGGATGAGTGTTTCAGTAAGCGGATGTTGACAATTAAGAAAAATGGGTGGTACATGATGTAATAGCGATAGTCTTCCTGGTGTTCTCTATAAACCTTTCTCGTCTTTTACCAGTCTCCACTGCTTGATTTCTGCATCTGTGAGGTTCTTTTGGGCTTGGGACAAAAGAAACATTTTGATCCAGGCTCTCCGATCATGCTGCGTTGCTGCTTTGCTGCGGAGTGTAGTATATTTGCGATGAAAAGAAATTGAGGATTTTTTTAACAATGCGGCGAAGCTATTCCCGGCTTTTTGCAATTGTATAGTCAATGATGCAACCATGAGTGTACACGGTGGTTAAACCCGCGCCACTTGCAATTAAGGTCGACAGAGTACCAAGGTGTGACGGCTATTGTGATCCATTCTTCCCCATCCACTCCGGACCATGCCACCAAATTTGAGATTGCGTTAGGGCTGCTAGAGTGAGCCCTCGTGATATCTGCTGGACTGCTCTTGGAAGGAACATAACGGAAGCGATATTTATGTTCCTGAATTTCCAAAACTCTGTTCTTTACGAACTTTGGTAAAGCGTCTAATTTTTTAGTTGCGGGCCAAGATAAGACGCACTTGGAATCTGACCAGGCAAAACAGTGTGAGAGTGGAATTGCGAGCTCTTGCCGAACAAAGGTAAAAGCTCGAGCTCCAATTAGTGCTCCCATTAACTTGGCTTTCGTTATTGTTAGCCGTTTGATCGGCATGAGGCGTTGTTTGGGAAAGATTAGGTTTGTTTGAACTTGGTCGTGCTGATGGTTTCTTGCGTAAATCACCGCCGCATAAGCCAGTATAGAAGCGTCTACAAATAAGTGAATCTGTGCCGTTTTACTGTTTATTGCTCTTCTGGAAAGGTCGATAATTTTTGTTTGCCATGTTTGGAGTACATGCTGGACTTTGGCTAAAATCACTGCTGGGATTTCCTCGTCTCATCTCGTTTTGGCAATCTATAATTTTTGGCAAAGTATATTCCACGATAGTAGCGCTAGAGCGATTAGTCCTAGTGGATCGTACTGTGCTCATATAAAACTGGTATGGCTCTTTTGGTTAAAAGTTTAGGAGTCATATTATTGATTTGGATTTGAAAAAAATCTACGACTGGATTCTAACGTAGGCCCAACACAGGTAATTCAAAGTCGCTACAGCGGTCATTTGGGAGCATCTTTTGAGAAAAGGTTTGATCGTTTGTGGAGAATTCGCGCAATCTCATGAACGGATTTGCGAAGATCTGTTTTGCCTCTGCGTACGATCGTTCTGTCGACACAGTGTTTTCGTTTCCAATAAGAACGTTGTCAACGTAAAGGTTTTGTAAAATAGAATAAGCTAACCAGGAGTGTTTGTGTCGCAGATGGTGTCGAATAACTGCTCCTAGTAAGAAGGGGCTACTAACTACTCCAAACGGGACACGAGCAAACCTGCACACGATAATATTGTCGGGTGTCGGTGGCTTATCCAGGTTTTAGACCCGTAAGAATCATGTTACATCGCGGTCGATTGGGTGCAGTCTGACTTGCAGGAAAGCTTTTTCTACATCAGCGAGCAAGATATTGTTGTAGGTTCTGGCTCAAAGTAGGATGGCACAGAGTTGCGGGAGTAGAAATGGTCCACAGTATAAAGCCTCGTTAAGGCTACACCCTCTATTAGTTTTGGCGCTAGCGTCAAAGACGATACGGAGTTTGGTAGTCTGCTTTGATGGTGTAATCACCGCTTGATGGGTGGGGGGGGGGGGGGGGAATAGACTTTGGAGGCTGATTGGGAGGGTGCACGTTCAATGATTCCATCCTTGAGTTGCTGTTGTAGGATGCTGTCGTATTGTTGGAGTAAGCCTTGACACGGCTTCTGTCAATTCAGCAAACTTTTTAGCCTTGCCACACACATGGCATAG